GTTCACCATTTGATTAATTACAAAACAACATTTTTATAATATAGCACCACCTTAAATGTGTGAATATTTGCAACATCTCAATCAAGTCAGAGAAATCAGCTGCTTTTGGACAAACCGAGCCTTTTTGGTGACGTGGAAAGTTTACAAAAAGGAGCTGCTCAGATCATCGCTGCTCACAACTCATTTGATTTCACTGGTTTTTAGTGTTGGTGAAGCAATGTTTTTATGTAAATTGATTGTATTTGAGTTCATATTTATTGCTACTGTTTATTGACTGACTTTAAACGTTAAACTAACAGCACTTGTTGCACCAAATGTGCTCAATATGTAAACTTTTAACTTGATTTGAAGATTTTTAACAATAAACATAATGAAAAGTACTGGTAAATGAAATATTTCTTCTCATTTAGGGCTTATAGAAGTATAGATTTAGTCTATACAGTTGGTTCATACTGAACGGGTCTCTTGTAAATGAGTCCTCGCGACTCAATGAGACTAAACTGTATAAATAAAGGTTGAATGAATTTAACGTTGTAGTGGGGAATCTTCTCTCGTTAGAGAAGAAAACTTTAAAACTTTACACAGGATTATAATTTGAACAGATTTCAATACAACAGTTCAAATTCAACAGTGTTGTTACATTTAAATCCCGACATCTGTGTTAGTGTCCTCATCGCACTGCCAGCAGTAAAAATCCTTTTTTGAGTTTGTGCAATGAAGAACATGACCCCAGCGTCCTTGCTTGTTTGTTTCTACCCGCCTGATTAAAACAATGAGGTGTTGCTTGTGACGGATCAGATTAAACCTGTTGTGAAGCACGTAGTACATGCTGTCCAATACGTGCACGCCCTCACAAACTGTGCTCTCTTTTTAAAGGAATGTTTTCTTTTCTTGTAAAGAAATTCTCACAGAGCACAACTGGATGATGTTTCAACTTATTAACTGAATTTATAACGTCGTCATTTGTCGACTCAAAGAGGTTTTTAGAATTAGCTTGTAGCTCTGTTCCTCGTAAATAAGCAAACGTTCCTTCAGATAAGAGAACGTGACGTTATTTTTACACTGTTTGCTGAACAAACCTGATCCAGGCTGCACAGGTGCACCTACGAATAAGTAACAGTTTGGAAAAACCTTTTGCATTACTTTATTATTTCAGCAGAAGTATTACGATTTTGTTTGAAGTCTCCCAAGCTGCACAAGTAATGCTACAGCTAGTTGCTGCTGCTATTTGTTCTTACAAATAATCACATAATTCTATGCTAATAACCTTGTATTGTGAAACTAATTAATGGATTTGTGAAGGTTTAAAAAACATATTTGGACAAATCATTATAATTGTTTTCAATAAGTTGTTTTAGGATGGCAGCAGTTCTTGACCCCTCCTCAGATTAGCCATTAACTCATCAATCCTGCCAGAATAAAACTATATGTCTTCAACAAAGGTTGTTCAAAGAACCATTTGCAACAAGATAAGATATAATTGAACCGTTTGCAACAAGATAAGATATAATTGTTCAATCCCACTCAAAGGTCTGAACTGTCCCTTTAAATGTTTTTATGTTCCTGCTAGCTAGCTACATATTTAACAATGTGCTTTCAACTCTTGGTTTAGTCTACATATAAATAAATGCTAACTAATTTAACCCTCACTTCATTTCATTTACTCAATTGGTTTACATTAATGAGTTCATTAGGTGTTGTTGTTGTTGTTGTTGTTGTTGTTGTTGTTAATAACAATGAGCGGTTAGATGTAATTCAAATTCAGTATCTCAGAAATTAGAATATTACTTAAGACCAATAAAAAAAAAGATTTTTAGAAATGTTGGTCAACTGAAAAGTATGAGCATGAAAAGTATGAGCATGAAAAGTATGAGCATGTACATCACTCAATACTTAGTTGTTGCTCCTTTTGCCTGGATTACTGCAGCAATGTGGCGTGGCATGGAGTCCATCAGTCTGTGTCTCTGCTCAGGTGTTATGAGAGCCCAGGTTGCTCTGATAGTGGCCTTCAGCTCTTCTGAATTGTTGGGTCTGGTGTATTGCATCTTCCTCTTCACGATACCTCATAATTTTTTTATGGGGTTAAGGTCAGGTGAGTTTGCTGGCCAATTAAGAACTGGGATACCATGGTCCTTAAACCAGGTACTGGTAGCTTTGGCACTGTGTGCAGGTGTCAAGTTCTGTTGGAAAATGAAATTTGCATCTTCATAAAGTTGGTCAGCAGCAGGAAGCAAGAAGTCTCTAAAACTTCCTGGTAGACAGCTGCTTTGACCTTGGACCTCAGAAAACAGTCCATCACTTACTCAAGCAACATGGATTCTGTGCCTCTCCTCTCTTCCGGATCCACTCTGGAGGGGCGGGTTGCCGGCGGGGCCTGTGGACTCGTCGCTGCAGCCTCCTGGGGTTTCTGCATTGTGGTGGCTGGGGATCACCCGGGGCTTCCCTTTGCTTCTCTCTCTGTGGGGACAGGTCTGTGGGTCCCCACATCCACTATTGAACATTTTTATGGAGAAACCTTATAGTGACAATCATGCTCACACAGGTGTTTAGATTCAGGTGTTTATCAGATACACACTCAGTTGGGTTGTGGAGACCACTAAATATATCTTGTATTACCATGTACCATATAAAATACTTTCTAATGATGTTATAAGTATCATTATATAAGTTGTTTGTTGTTGTGGTTTCTCGGTTTTGTCTTTTTTTTTCTCTCGTTCCGCAGGTCTAGAGGCAGACTTCAATGATGTTGATTTGTGTTCTCTTTATCCCTCTCTCTCTCCTCTATTCTTATCTCCTTCTTTACATTTTAACCCTTCTCTCACTTTTCTGCTTTATCTTCGTTGTTTTTCATCCCCGTGTCCATTACATCTGAAACAAACCCAAAGCAAATTCTAATAAAATTTAATTTAAACATCAAGCAGAGCATTAAGGCCAGCCATAATGCTCTGCTTGTGAAAGTAAATCTGTTGGACATCACTTTGACACTCAGACAATAATTCTGAGTGTCACAATGGACAAGGGTAAAAAAAAAAAAGACGTAATATTTAACTTTGAAAAATCCCATCATGTTGCTGTGTTCATTCGTACTCATCTGCTCACATAGACTCATGTTCATGCTGCTGTTCAGCATATTGTTTTTGTACTACTAGAGTATTTTTATTAACATTTTTCATAGTTCATATCTTGGATCTTATTACTGTTTTTCTTTTACATTTTAGAATTTTGTTGGATGCAACTGGGACCCTGTGTGCACAATTTCGTTCCATCACGTGTGGTGAAATGACAAAGAACCTTGAATCCTTGATATTTAAATTTTCTGTTGTGGTGAATTTGGGGGTTTCATTAGCTGTCGGTTATAATCATCAACATTAAATAAATAAACATTTGAAATATATATCCGTCTGTGTGTAATGAATAAACATAATATACAAGTTTCACTTTGTAAATGGAATTCCTGTAATAAATCAACTTTTTCATGATATTCTAATTTAATGACCAGCACCTGTATATGAATGTTTCTGTTCAATGCCCTGAGTCAGAGATTCTTTATTGTCATTCGCACCTCATGTGGTACATGTGGTGGAGCAAAATTATGTACACAGGGTCCCAGTTACATCCAACAATAAAATGTATAAGAAAAACAGTAATAACATCTAAGATATGAACTAAGAAAAACATCAACTAAATATACACTAAGCACTCATAACATAAAACATTGAACATCAGCACAAACATGAACATGAGTCTGTGTGAGCGGATGTGCACGCATGAACACATCAACATTGAAACAGAGCAACAGCAACATGAAACAGATCAGCAGCAACATGAAACAGATCAGCAGCAACATGAAACAGATCAGCAGCAACATGATGTGGTTTTTTTACAGTGATTATTCTGGTTAGAGATTCATGAGTCTAACAGCCTCAGGGTAGAAGCTGTTCCTCAGTCTAGTGGTTCTACATTTAATGCTCCTCAACCTCCTTCCTGAGGGGAGCGGGGCAAAAAGTGTGTGTGCTGGGTGAGTGGGGTCCTTCATGATGCAGGTAGCCCTCTTCCTGCATCTGGAGGTGTAGATGTCTGTGATGGTGGGGAGACTGACTCCAACAGTCTTCTGTGCAGCCTTCACCACTCTCTGCAGAGCTTTTCTTTCTGCAGCTGTGCAGCCTCCATGCCACACGTTGATGCTCGAGCACAGGATGCTCTCCACTGCACACCTGTAGAAGGAGGTGAGGACTGAGCTTCCCAGACCAGCTCGTCTCAGCCGTCTGAGGAAGTAGAGTCTCTGATGAGCTTTCTTGATCAGGCTGGTGGTGTTGTTGCTCCAGCTGAGGTTGTCATTCAGGTGCACACCCAAGTACTTGTAGCTGGAGACCACTTCCACCGCAGATCCTCTTATGTTCAGGGGAGTATAAATGTTTTTGTTCCTTCTGAAGTCCACAATCATCTCCTTTGTCTTCTTCACATTGATGCGAAGGTTATTCTCTTTGCACCAGCTCTCCAGGTGTTCCACCTCTTGCCTGTAGCTGGACTCATAATTGTTTGTGATGCATCCCACCACTGCTGTATCATCTGCAAACTTTACAATGTGACAGCCTGGATGGGTAGCTGCACAATCATATGTGAGCAGAGTAAATAGGAGGGGGCTCAACACACATCCCTGAGGAGAGCCAGTGCTGAGGGTTATGGTGGAGGAGGAGAAGTTGTGGATACTCACTAACTGTGGTCTGTTTGTTAAGAAGTCTAGTACCTAGTTGCAAATGGAGGGGCTTAGTCCTAGTGTGACTAGTTTGTCCATCAGGGTTTGGGGGATCATGGTGTTGAAGGTGGATGTTGACTTCTACTCTGACCTGGCGCTATATAAATAAACTGAATTAAATTGGTAAGCAGAGGAACATTATGCAGTGACGGAGATGTTTGTTTCTGCCGTGCTGATTTTTCTTCTCTGTGACCTTTCAGGTTCTCGCCCAGACCGACTACAGGCGAGAGTCAGCAGACCACGTTAGGACAGCGAGGCACCGGTCCTGCACTCATCTTCTTCCCTGTGCGATGTTGAAGAGTGGCACGTGGCCAGGCAACGCTGCCGTGGAACCCTCGAGCAACATGGACAGTTCGGGAAGCTGCGACAGTGTGATCAGCGTGAACTCTGGCTGTGTGAGTGCTGCTCTGTTTGTTGTGTAACTCAAACCGCAGACGCTCGTCGCTCTGGCATCCCTGACTGAACACTGATGTCATAACGAGTCTGTGGTTGGAAAGTTAAATGGAGAAATGAAATCTGAGCTTCAGGTTTTAACGCCTCTCACACACGCAATCAAATTAACTTAAAAAGTGAAACGTGTGTAAGTGAAACTGAAAGCATCTTTAAGCTTCACAGTGATGAAGTCGTTGCTTTGCATCTGTTTGAAAAGGCTCGTGTCTTCTGTTTGGAGTGATTCTAACGTTAGATTGTCCTAGTTTTGATACATTTGTAGCATATTTGACAGTGTTTGTGCTGTTTGCAGAGTAATGACAGTATGGAACACCTGACTCCAGAGGAGAGGGCGTGCCTCATGTTTCTGGAGGAAATCATCGAAGCTCTGGAGGTGCAGGAGGACAGCGGCTTGTCTAACGACGAGCCAGACTCTTGGACTACTACAAAAGATCATATAAGAGTCAATGGTGTGTTGTTGTTTTTTATTCTTTTTTTTTTTTTTGTCTTAGCTAATTACTGCCTGTTGACAAAAGATAAGCGAAAATGCCCGTGAACTTAGCTTGTTTGTAGTGTAAGCAAAATATCTCATATACCATTGGACAGCATTTAATAAAATTCTCAGCAGGTTATCACTGGATGTTCATCTACAGCTGTTTAACTTTTAGAGACTACTCTATTCAAGATGGCTGCCATAGCTAGTCGACTTTAGCCTCTGTGAAAATGACTGTACCTCAGTCAGCGTACGAATATTGAGCTAAACCTTTGAGTGGTCAAAGTAAAAGAGTATTTCCCAGCACATGGTTTGAGTGCAAACAGATTATTTATTACATTATTTTTACTTATTTGACCAAAACTACTAAAACTCCATACTTTCTTAACTTCATATGATCTTACTCTGAAACTCTGGCATGAAAGGTGTCGGGTGATATGCATCTTTTTAAGAACTGCTAAACTAAAAAAAGTTTTCTCTCGTGCTCCTTCATTAACTGAAGTGTTTGTTTATTGATGGTGTTTTAAATGTTGTAGGTATTTCCAGTTTGGCATCAGAGTCTGGAAGTCAGGGAATGTCCCCACCTCCCCACTTTGAAGCAGTGGACCCAGCACCCATGACATCAACGCCTGAGAGTGAAACGGAGCGTCATGCACTGAACCAGAACTCTGAACCACGATCCACCACTGCTCCAAGTCCTCCTCCCTTTGAATCAGCTCCTGCTTGTACAGCTCCCTTAAACCTAGATCAGGTTCCAGGTTTAATCCTGAATGGAACTCTTGATCCAGATAATGTCATCAGTTCTTGGTCCTGGTCCGGAGAGAAGACCTCTGAGATTGATCTGAGCCTACTCCCTCCCCCCTCAGACTTCATGGATGAACTGGACACTTGTTCACAGCCGAAGAAACTGAACGGTGTCCCCACAGAGCCTGAACTGCACGTTGAACTGGTACCACTAGACTCAGCAGACTCTGTGAATAAGATTTCAGAGAACTCATTGACCGAGGACCCTCCAAGCAGTCCTCCACCAGATCCTGCTTCTGTTTCTTTTATAACTCCCCCTCCTGAGTTTTCTCCACCCAAAAGTCCACCTCCTGTGGCCCCCAAGCCTAAAAAGCTTCCTGCCAGCATTGTTTTGCACTCACAAAAGACAGCGGTGGGTAGTCCTGATGGAAGCGTGCCGTCTTTGCTGCCCACCAGTGGTGACTGGATGCTGGGGGACCAGCAGAAGGTCCACATGGAGGCCCTTCGGAAGCTGGGACTGCTCAAAATAAATGAAGAAGAAGCAGGCCTTGAAAAAATCTCTACACTTCCTCTCAAAAATAGAAGCCGACAGTCGTGGGCAGGTCCATCTCCCCTCAGCCCAGGAGTTTCTCATGCATTACCCCTGACGCCATCATGCACCCACCTCAGCAGCACCCCTCCTGCCTCGGCCTCCCTTCAGTTTGTGCCATCTGCTGCTGTTTTGACGGTTTCTCCTCCAACACAGGACCCGGACATTGTGCCAGCTCCTGCAGCGTTCAGCGATCCCAGCCATCCTCTGCCTTCAGTTAACGAACTGCCCACTGGAGCAGATGTTCCAGATGCTGATGTGAGGAGCCCTGCTGCTGCACCAGTCAAACAGCTAACCTCACCAAAGGTCACAGACATGAAATCTGCAACCCTGGAGTGCTCTGGTGTGGGTGTAAGCTCTTATCTGACTGGTCAACCCCCCACCGAGGCTGATCAGAGAGCCACGGGAGAGCAGAGCCAGCAGCACAGCAGCCAGCCACAGCCCTCCTCCCTGGGGAGCAGAAAAGACATTTCATGTGCCAAAGAAGAGGATTTGCAGGCAGCCCCCACCACCAGCAAACAGACGGAGCCTCAAAGACCCTTGCATGCCCACAATGTTGTCCAACACCCCAGGGGGGAGTCCAAACCGCCTCGATCACAAGGCATCAGCGTTCTGATCTGCCCCCGACCGGAGAACGTAGAGGAGCGGCGCGAGGCGCTGAAGAAGCTGGGACTGCTCAGAGACTGAGCCCCCGCTTCCACCACAGACTCCCCCGACCTTTATACAACGCATCAAGGGACTGTCATGGCCTCCCTTGCAGCTATATTTATTTATCATAGAACAGAAAAACAAGGACGGTTTAAAATGTTCATCGACTCAATTTGTGTGGGTTTTTTTGTAAATTAAATTCTTTAACTGTTACAAATCATTGTTGAATTTAAAAGAAGTTGCACATTTATTTTCCCACTTCACCTCCTTTTATATGTTACGTGTTTCCAGGATGAAGCTGTGTAGTGCAGTCCTTTAACACACCTCATTTTTTTTACGTTTTAAAATGTGTCTTTGTTAGTTTTTCCTTCCGTTTCCTGTATTTTTATACGTAGTCTGCTCAGCACGTATTTTGTCAGTATAATTAGCACCTTCCATCAGAGACTCATCTAATAAATGTATATTAAAAGTCTTTCAGCATTTCTGAAGCATAACTTTGTGTAACTTGACAAAGCCGGCAGGTTGGTTAAAGTCTGAAACGTGGTTGGCCTGATGACAGACGCATCAAGATACAGTTGTTCCTTCAGCCGCTGTGATTATCTTGAGTCTGTGTCCGTCTGAGTCATACATATCACTGCATTGATCAGAAGTTTGTTTCCTGCGTCTGGAAGACGTCACGTTTGTAGATGTCAGTCCTCGTGTGGCGCTTCAAATCGCACGTTGGATCAGTGGTTTTCTGCCTTTGATTCCGACGTGATGTGGGGGAACAGGTGCAACCAGTTTCTGCAGCCTTCATGAAACTTCCTCTCTGCCCAAGATAGCTTTTTCAAGTTCGCTCTGTCTGAGATTTTTCTCTTCATCCTGGCTGCAGACATTTAACGACAACTTGCATTTCCTGCGAAAATGCAGTGTGAATGCTTTTTGATGAAGAACTTGATGAAAAACGGCTGAGATTACAAAGCATGCTGAAATGAAAGAACAAGCCTAAATTAGCAGCAGAAAGAACACATATTTGCTGAATTATGTTAAAATAAGCAGAAATGAGTACAGACATTAGGAAATCAGCTAAAAAATATATAAACTTAGTTGAAATGACAAAAAAAATCTTCAACTATCGGAAGGAAGTGGACACAGCTGAAATAAGCTAAAAAAAAGTGAAATTAGCAGAAAAAGCTAAAATTAGCATAAAACGGCTAAATAGTAGCTGAAAAGGCTGAAACTCACAAAAAAGCTGAAAGGAGCATAACAAGCTGAAATTAGCAGAAAGAAGTTTACGCTGAAAGTAGCAGAAATTAGCAAGAAAAACATTAATTTATCTGAAAACAGCTGAAATTAGCAAAAAAAATATCTATAAAGTTAGCTGGAAAGGAAAATTAGTGTAAAAACAGTTACCGGCAAATAGTAGATGAAATAGCAGAAATAGATGAAACTAGCAGAAATATTCCAAAAGGAGCATCGCTATTTGAAATGAGCAGAAAGAAGTTAGAAGAAGTACAAAAATGTTCTAGTTAGCAGAAAGAATCTGAAAGGAGTGCAAAACAGCTGAAATTAGCTGAAAGTATGGCAAATGAAAAAGTTAATTTGCTGAAAGAAGCTGAAGCAGAACAAAATGTGAAAGGAGCAGTAAAAGGTTGTAAACAGATCTAAAGATTTGAAGGATGTAAATTGAGTTCAATTCATTTTCTATGAGAAACAAGGTGACAGAAAAGGCTAAATATTTCAAAAAGCTAAAGCTGCACCAATACCAAAAGTCATAGCAGGATTGTCCTGAAACATTTTGATATACTGTGTGATTTGTTGAAATAGCTTGAAAACTGTAGGACGAGAATCACGCCAAAAGACGTACAGAAGAAGAATGGATCTCAACAGTGTGAATGTGTCATAAACGTTCACACAAATCGTTTTTTTATCTGTAATATGTTATTCAAGTTGCATAAGCTTGATTTGAAAACAAATCTCTGCGGCTGAGCAGATCCCTCTGCAGTGCTGAAGAATTATTGGGAACTTAGCAGAATGCATTTGAGTTTTTGCACCAGAGTAGCTTTTTAAACACTATGTGAAACTACCACAGCTGAAAGCAACAACTTTCAGATTTATATTTCATGTCATAGTTGGATGTAAAAATAAGTGATGTTTTTGAATGACAGCAGTTTTGCCCAATACTTCTCACATTTTTCTTTATTGCTCGTATTTGACCGAAGCCAGTTTTGACAGCAGAAATTTGCATTTAGTCACTCATTTGCAATGTTTGTACACACATTTTCATATGTTCCAGTGCTGCTTTTTATACATTTAACAAACTCATGATCTGCATCTGTCAGGAGGAAAGTAGAGACGAGGGAAAAAGAAAAATAATGGGGCGTTTTGAATATTGTTTTGAATATTTTCCAGTAAAAGCTAAGACTCGGGTGCATGATCTGCTGAAGAGATTAAATGTTACTCTACTTGTTATGTAGCCAATAGACTGTAAGGAACTTGCTGAATTAACAAAGGTGTGATTTATTACATTAAATCCTTGTTGCTGCAAAGCCAGGAGAGGAAGCAGTAAACAAACAGCTGGCTGAGGAAGCAGTAAACAAACATCTGGCTTTGTGTTGCTCTGGGAGTTTTCCTCTCGGACAGCTGATCTAACTGAGGATGAGTTCATGACTGTCACTTCCACCGAATCCCCTCACAGGCCTCAAGATCAGCTGCTATGAAAACAAACTAGCCCCTTCTGCATATGTGCAGCTTAAACACGTCAAAGATTGAGTCTAATGCTAAAAAAACAATCTGAAATTTTCAGTTAAATTTTTATTACAACCATTTTGGTCCAAGCTTGAATATAACGTGACCTGGTAGCCCTTGGATTATGTGTTGTGGATAACTCTTAGCTACCACACCAAATTGCATCCCTGTATTTGTAAAGTGCACTGAGTTGTAGCCGTTTTTAATGCAGGCTAAGGTCAGATAGCTGTGGTGGCCATCTTGAATTGGGTTGATTCCAAACATTAATCCAGTGGTTACTTCCTGAAAGTCTGAGTGAAATTTGTCCAGTGGTTGAGATATGCTGCTAACAGCACAAACAAATGAATGCACACACAGACAGCAGCAGATACATTGTCAAGTTCAAGGATTTTATTGTCATTCGCGTCACATGTGGTACATGAGGTGGAACGAAACTGTGTACTCGAGGGCCCAGGTACACCCAAAAATAGCAAAAATACAAAGTATAAAAAGAAACAGTATATAAGGATCTAAGATATACAGGTCCTTCTAAAAAAATAGCATATTGTGATAAAGGTCATTATTGTCCATAATGTAATGATAAAAATGAAACTTTCATATTTCAGATTCATTGCACACCAACTGAAATATTTCAGGTCTTTAATTGTTTTAATACTGATGATTATGGCATACAGCTCATGAAAACCCAAAATGCCTGTCCCAAAAAATTAGCATATTTCATCCCACCAATGAAAGACAAGTGTTTTTAATACAAAAAACGTCAACCTTCAAATAATCATGTTCTGTTATGCACTGAATGCAGCAAAAGACATTATATTATGACTGTGGCTTAAAGATTCACTTTTCTTCCAGCAGAGGGCAGTAGAGATCCATGTCACTGAACCAGCTGAACTGGAACCAGTTTATAACTGAAGCCTACATGCAGGTTTAATTATGAGCATTAATGCAAACATTTCACTTGCTCATAAACTATTGAACTATTTTGCAGCCTGCTATAAGATATTTGAGATCAGTGTGTTGTACTGTAATAAACTACTTAATACCTTATCTTTTCCCTTTAACTCCTGGGTTTATGTAGCTTGTGTGAAAGCTGATCCAGCATTTACACCATTGTTTTCCTATTTGGAGTTGCTTTCATGTGATTTTGCAGTCTAACTCCTCCCACATATTTTTAACTGATTATATATTAAAACAGAAAAAATGTGGTTTTGTCACTTTTACTGTAAACTTTATTTAAAACAAAATTCACCGTAGAAATTCACTGAGATCCTGCAGTTCCTTCAAAAACATGGTTCTCTCTGAAATCTGCTTCAGTATACTTGCTCTGTCCTTGTGTTCTTTAGTTACTTTTAGTTTTTACTTGTTGTTCTATTTTAGCTGTTGTTCTGCTACTTTAGCTTTTATCATTTTGCTACTTTTACCATTTTGGGGCTTGATTTTTGTAGCCACTATTTGGCTACTTCCCAGGGGCTGCAGCAGCAGTGGTTATGTGCAGTAGTCTTGTGATCCTGGACCTTTTGATTCGAGCCCAGCTTATATCAGGTTTACAACAGTGGACAAAATCTTTCGTACAAGATCACTCACTGCGACAACCCCTGCAGAAGGGAGCAGCCGAAAGAAGCTTACTAACCTGCTGATTTTAGCTATTGTTTTGCAACTTTTAGCTTTAGCGATGGTTTTGCTGGTTTTAGCCACAGTTAATATTTTTTTATTTTCTTTTTCTTTTTGGTACTGTTTGATTAGCTGGGGGATGCCTACTAAGGCAGACACCTATTATTATCCACCTGACAAGGGTTTCTTAACTTTATATCTTACTCTTCCTTCAACTTTAATGCAGCCCAAACCGCAACGTGTACCCCCACAAATATTATATCAAAACGACCGGCTCGGCACCGTGATGTGTGCAATTACTTTTATTGGCACTTCGAGTTACCATGACAACATAATTTGGGAACAAAGACACCACTTTTATTAGTAATTTTTCATAGACTCTGGTTGCAAATCGAATATCCAAGATGGCCACCTGAGCGAAAAAGGAAAAATGCTGTAAATCTGACATTTTTACAGAAATTAAACTGAAATTTGGTGTGGTAGTAGCTGAGACCAATGCCCAGTAAATAATGAATTAAAAAAATTCAAGGTGGCTGCCAAAGCTCCATTTAAATGGCTTTAACTCGTTGATATTTTGTCATTTTCAGCTGGAATTTTGTGTGATTGTAGCTGAGAGCGAACCCAAACACGTAATATTGTCAAATCAAATTTTTTAAATGGCCGCCACATGTCAGTCCCTGTCAAAATTTCTCCAGGAACTTTCTAGTTTTAGTTGTGATGTGCTTGTTTTAACTTTTACATTTCAGTTTTA